TGGGTTAACTACAAAATTTTTGTAGTTCGCTATAACTACAGCTACTTCAAAAATATGTAGTCAGCTACAACTACTGCTACTTTTGAACAAAAGTAGTTCGCTACTGACTACAGCTACTGCTTAAAAAATGTAGCGAACTATTTCGCTATTTCGCTACTCTATATTTTTTAGTTTTACGGTATTTGGGCTCAGGCTGTAATTTAACCTATAACAAATCGACTTACGAGTAGCAACAGTAAACACAAAGCAACATTTTTGTGTTTAGGATGTTCAGGAGTGCAAATTGACTATTGAGTATTGATTTTAAGCAAACCGTACGTGTCTCAATATCATGCTATTCTATCAAGTTGCTAACAATTTTTAAAAAGTAGCGAATAGCGATTCGCTGTTTGAAAAGTAGTCAACTACTTGGCTACTTTTAGGCAAAATGTAGTTTGCCATAACTACAACTACTGTTTTTAAAAAGTAGTAAAAAACTACTGGCTACTTGAAAGTTGTAGTTCGCTACAACCCACCCTTGGGTTTTGGCAAACAAAAGTTGGACTTGACGTCATGACGTGCATGAGATAAATGTTTAACAACAAAACTTGTCAAGGAAAACTTGTTGACCGTACGCATGACAAGAAGGTATAAACTGTCAAGGAAAACTTACTCGTCTGTGCAGGACCTAAATGAAGGAAGTTATATGACGATATTGAAAAAATCATCTACCTTTTCTAGCCTTTTTACATTTTACACGAAATTGATTAATTTGATTGAAAGCAACGCCCGTATTCTAAAAGGTCACTCACACTCACACTCAATGTGTGGAGGTTCAATCTGAGCTTCTCTTGAGTGCCAGTGCTGTTTTTGAATAGCTGGAGGGCGAGTAGTCACATAGTAAGGTACGACACCAGGGGCGTAGGAAGCACCTGGAGTTTGGGGGGGCACCGGCTTGTAGGGGCACATTACTATCGGAAAGGGCACCTAAAAAATTTTTCCCGGAAATGTTGTCGACGGGGGGGGGGAGGGAGAAATTTCTCCTGTTTGTGACCTAATTTTTAAAAAAAATTTGTAAATTTCCACACAAAAACGGCACCTATTGTTTTAATTTAGTATTTACAGCGACATTAGCTTCTACAAAAGAGGCACTTTTCCTCACAAAAAAGGGCACTTTTCAACACAAAAAGGGCACTTTTTATCACAAAAAAGGGCACTTTTAGTCCTTTAAAAAAATTTGGGGGGGCACGTGCCCCCCGTGCCCACCCGCTTCCTACGCCCCTGGACATTGTCTAGTTAATGAGATTTTTATATATACAGGGTGTATAAAAAAAAAACTGAACAGATTTGAAATTGCTCTCAATTTCGCAAAACACCTATTTGTATCCGGTTTTTTATATATATAGCTTCTTTTGGTACTTATAATGTACAATAATGAAGAAAATAGTATAGGCTTGATACGCATCCACACCAAAATCACACATTCTACAAGCTGACTCAAAAACACACACACATATATATATATATATATATATATATATATATATATATATATATATATATATATATATATATATATATATATATATATATATATATATATATATATATATATATATATATATATATATATATATATATATATATGTATATATACATATATATATATATATATATATATATATATATACATATTCGCTAGTTTTAATTATTTTAAACTTTTAGGACGATTATGGTACATTAGTAGAATAGAAATTCTTACTCATATAGTGTAATTTTAAATCTCAACAGTTGTTACGCGCATTTGATCATATATGAATGTAAATTTGCGCGATATAAGCATTAAATTATTATTATTATTATTATTATTATTATTATTATTATTACACAATTCTTCACAATCATTCAAGATTTGATCTAACTTTAGTAGGTGAATTAAACATCGAATTTTGCATGTCTTGAATCAATTCGGCTTGGCCATGGGACATTGCCTTGAATGACGTGAGACACTAAGAGATGAATATTAAGTAAGGTTAAAAATAAAATGGGGCAAATTGTACTATACCAACGCCCAGACGAGACACCAAAGTACGTTTTTCACTTCGGTTGTTCATTTTCAGGTTCTTGATTTTCAGGTTCGTGATTTTCACTTCGTGTTTTCTTGGTCCTTGATTTTTAGGATTTTATTCCACTCAAAGAGAGTAAACAATAACAGCGGCGATTGCATACTCTCTTGGTGTTATAAATAATGATACTGCCGTGATATTCATCGTCGTTAAACTATATTTTAGTTTATAAGCTGTAACTATAATAGAATAACTGATCGAATAGAATAAATATTGAATACGAATTACAGACTAGTGACGACCGTTGGAATGCTAGCCCAATGCTCTGCCAACTGAGCTACGCGGTCAGGTCGGTTCAAGTATGTGACATTTCGGAACCGAGTCTAGTTCCTTGGATATAATATCAATGTAATCTAGTAATCATGATTTTTTCTGTGTTGGTGTAATGTACTCAGGTGAATATGATGCTTGTGATGTTACTCTGAGTGTATATCCACACCGGGCAAGCTTGAAAAATATGCCTGGCCACGGTGGGAATCGAACCTACGACCTTTGGAATACTAGCCCAATGAGCTACGCGGTCAGGTCGGTTCGAGTATGTGATATCTTGGAACCGCGTCTAGTTCCTTCGATATCAATGTAATCTAGTAATCATGATTTTTTCAAGCGTCATATTCACATGCGTACATTACACCAACACAGAAAAAATCATGATTACCAGATTACATTGATATCGAAGGAACTAGACTCGCTTCCGAAATATCACATACTCGAACCGACCTGACCGCGTAGCTCAGTTGGCAGATCATTGGGCTAGTATTCCAAAGATCGTATAGATTCGATTCCCGCCATGGCCAGGCATATTTTTGAAGCTTGCCCGCTGTGGATATACACTCAGAGTAACATCACAAGCGTCATATTCACCTGAGTACTTTTCTGAAATATTCAAAGGCAACACATTAAACGGATTTCGGATATGGCAGGTGTAATTTTTAACTAGTTTTTAATAATATCATTAATATTAATACCAGGATAGAAACAAGTCGAACCCAAACTACAATCGCGTGCAAAGATAATGAGACTTTTGATATTTCGTTCTATTTCTGTGATTACCTCCCCCATCCCTCCTATTCAATGTTGAAAAAACAATTTGACCTGACAATATACATTTGTATCGTTTGTCCAACATTTCTTGTGAGGGGCGGGGGGGGGGGAAGACGTGGCAATGACTTGGTTGTCTCAATAATTTTTGCACGGGATTGTAGGGACTGTTTCAATGGTCTTCGAAAGTGGGCATAGAAGGGGTAGCAGAGTGGCGGGGTTAAAACCGTAGTGATGGCCATATAGAGAAGTGGAGGTCACTGGAAAGTGTGGGGTCTTAGAATAGCGTGTGACACTAGAAATAAGGGACGATAAAAAAGAACAGGCAACTATAGAAAAGCTGCCAGTACTTTTAATAGAAAAAGAACGGGCATATAACTATAGAAAAGTTGCCAATGACGATAGAAAACAACGGGCAACTATAGAACACCGTGGGGCACTAGAAAAGTGTGGGTCACTATAGACTGACAGTGTAGGGGCATAAGACTGAGTGCTTTGCTATATAAGCACCTAATGTTCAGTTCAAAGTTGTCATTTATACTAAAATTTAACTGCATATATAACTGCATCAAAACAACTCGTGAAGACACTCAGCTATCGTACAATACTCTACATGGATCCATCGTGCACGTGAGCACACTACAGCGATTCATGGGAAATTCTTGTTGGCAAGAAAGAATTGTCTTGAGAGAGTGGGGGTATGAATCGTAGCTGTAAATGCATCCTGAATGCAAGTTATAGGGGACCACAAGATTTTGGCCAGGATTGTGGTAACAAGAAACTGTTGCGAATGCTTCTTCAACTACTCCAGCCTTATTATAAATAATTGTAACGAGTGTTAAAACAAATTAATATTTTCGGCTAAAACTAAACAACTGTATACACAAGTTAAAACACCAGGGACCGGTTGTATCAAGCCCGTTTAGCTTAAGCGGTGAATAAGTCAAAATGAAATAACACTCTTATATCTCTCGTGAATCAATCAACTTAAATATTGTGCACTGAATATGAAGTTGTAAACATTATCGTTCTATTAAGTTTCAAAACTTTTAGCTTGGTTGTTGAATAAATCTATAGCTTTGCTTTCTATTTTGAGCTAAACCACCATTTAAGCTAAATGGGCTTGATCAGTGCAGCCGGCCACAGACAGTTGACGTGTACTCAATCAGGCACTTGCAGTTCAGATGCCTAAAAGTCCTAAACGACTCTGGTGTCTGTTATTAGTTTTTTTTTATTAATCATTGTTAAATATGATGGCTAATGTCGTCATGATAGGGACGTGGTGGTTTATGTAATTTCCAGGCTTAAAATCTTTGCTTGTAGTTCCGTTAGATCTTCTTCGTCCGTTTCTGATCGTTCGATTCGCTGTAGGATAGCTTCGGCTTCATTAAGGTGATGCAATACCCTAGATCTATCTTCATATTCTTCCTCAGTGAAGATGTCAGCCATTATCATGTGAATACTCAGCCGCATGCTGTCACTCATCGATTTTTCGACACACAATTCCTCCGTTTTTCTAAAGGCATCCAATGCACTATCAATATTCTGCAAGCCTTTGTAACATAGAGCAATATTAAGAATACATTCCGTTTCATCATCTGTTGACTGGTTAATTTCAAAAATTTTCAACGCTTTCTGGAAGTACGGCAACGCCTTCTCGTATTCCTCATGTTTAAGGAGGGCTGTAGCGAGCAATCTGCAAGCCAAGGCCACCTCTGGCGCTGCTTTTTCTGGATAAATAACAGGCCTACTTTGGGGGCCAAGGTCGCCTAATTTCGCCTAATGTCGCCTAATTTCGCCAATGTGCACCCGATTTTTGAACTTTACCTAACAGTCTATTCGCTTAATGTCGCCTAATTTCGCCTAATGTCGCCTAATGTCGCATAATCTCGCACAAGCATGCCCAATTTTGCACTTTGAGTTTGTTGTCTATTCTAGTCAGAGTCTATTCCTTATTTATTTGTTAGTTTCCTGCATGTTTTTTTTTTATAAATACATGTACACAAACACCAAGGGCATTGTGCTGTTAGGGCACCATCTCTCACCAGTACTAATGAGGCTTGGTTATTTGGCGTTTATATGTATATGGAATTACAACGCATTATTCCAATGAGAATTACCTAAATTATGTTGTTAAGGCAGCCTTCTGGCTATCTTCTCCAATGTGTTTCTTTGTGAAACTCAGTCAAATTAGACAATCACACGCCATTAAATGTTGTATATGAAATCAAACCTAGATCTTATTATCAAAGATACATTCATGATAACTGGCGAGTGCTAAAGTACAGAATACCTCTCACTAGCCTAGTGAAGTACACTAAGTATCCTAAAGGCCGAAAACAGTACCGTCTGTAGTTATATATGTACTATTTAAAATACTCATTAATAATTCATAACCTTGTGGCAAATCATGTCAGCCATAATATGTCACGTGGAGTGACTTTATATCTGATAAAACACATGTGGCATTGTATAATTGTTCATCCTAATTAGCATTATTATATAATGGTTCATCCTAATTAGTATTCTTTTGTAGTCGTATTTTAAGCTATTCAAAACACTCGTTGTCGTGTTTTATCAGATATAAAACGCTCGACTGCGCCTCGCATTTTATATCTGATAAAACACTCCTACTCGTGTTTTAAATAGTACATAATAATATAGACTATAAATAAAGAAAGTCATCTATAGTATGTTCAAAATACGACTTTGTAGTTTGTAAAATAAAATTACTTACTTTTCGACGAAGCTACGATGATCGACATCTCATAATTAGGTATCATCGCAAAAGATACAGAGCAATGAATGCACCACAGAAAGATCTACGGTACAGGTTATTATAAAATGTCGCCAAGGCCCGCCATAATCAATTATTATGTTTCCTTACACGAAGTAGTACAAGTTAGAACCTAAACCATTAAATTAGACGTGCCGTGGTATTGCGGGCTCAAATCATTAACGAATACACGAATATAAACTTTTGTGAATTCAATTCTTGTTTCTATTTATTAATTTATATCTGATTCTTGCTGGAAATACATCAAACAAGGTACCTTCATCGTTATTTTGTGATTTACTTACTTACTAATAAAAAACCCAATACCAAACACCACGATGTAGCAATGTACGTACACAGTACAGTTGAACATATTAACTTTATAATTTATACTGTAACTACAAGAGAACTATACTAATAAAAAGTTTGCAACTGTTGAAAGCCTCTCAACTAACGTTTAAAGTTAATATGATTGGTTAAAACACAAGCTTATTGGCTTACATTTAAGCGAGCAAATTTATTAGCACCTTGCCCACTTCTATCACTGCATACCACAGTCCATAAACAGGTTTTAAAACTCTATGAGGTGTTTACACCAGTCAATTTAATAAGAAGTCAGAGTTCCATGATACTGTAAATGTACCATGCACTGGGCATGTATGTGTACTACGGAATAAACTTGTCTAAACTTGAATAAATTGTCAGGCTAGCAGTTAGAGAAATGTAATAAACTAATTGTGTTCTTTGCCACAGGAACCAATTTTTGATAACTAAATTATATTTTGATATTTACTGTGTATTTTTTATGTAGATGCATAATTTGTGAATTATAATATTTGACATTATCTGGATATTGCTGTTCAGTTTTGTCCAATGTCGCCTAATGTCGCCCAGTTTCGCCCAGCGTCGCACACTACTTTTCTTTGAAAATTGCCAATGTCACCTAATGTCGCACAATGTTGCACATAATAACGGCGACCTTGGCCCCCAAAGTAGGCCTAATAACTCTCTTCAGTTCAAGTGCTTTTTGCAGTTTTGGTATTGCTTGCTCCCACTCCTTTAACAATAGACAAGCATATCCTACAAAGAGATATTAAAGATACGATTAAATTTAAGTGCACATATATGGCAAAATTATTTCTATAAAAAATTTCGATAGTGGCCATTTTGAATTGTTTAATTTTTCCAGGCGATGACTACTAAGACCAGCATTCCTCGCGGGCATCAAGCCTTGTGATGTCATTATGCATAAGTCTATTAACAATAAAATCATAACTATAACCTCGCTTAATTAGAAAACCTTTAATAAGCTACCATTCCTCAATCAGTCTCCGAAAAACTCATTTCCGTACGGGGCCCGGTCCTCCGCTTATAAGCCTTCAATAATGAGTATTTTTGAAAATTAAAGTCGTGTAAGTTAAATGACAAATGAAATTATATCTTGTGAACAAAAAGTATTGTAACTTTATGCTTTCCTGATGAACTTCGCAAAATGCTTATACCAAGGTCAGGAATTTTTTCATATTTTTGCAATATTTGCATGGATTAAAATTCAAAATAACTTTTCAGGCAAAACCTCCATCTGCAGAATTTATTGGATATGAAAATGACATTGTAACTATAGAGAAGTTTGGTCGCCAGAAACTCTTAAAATAAAGTCATGTCACGTCAATTTGGTGGTTGATAAATCCATATCAAGAAGAAGTTTCTGCCAGAAAAATTATTTTGCATTACGCTTTTGAAAGTTCCTTTGATACTTCTCAAATTCATTAATAATTCATGAGTAAATAGCCAATGATAATTAATCACCTATTTGATCACAAGATGCCATTTGGATACTTGATGAAAGTCACTAGTGTTTTCATCAAATATCTTAATTACGCATGCAAAATTACTTGAATAGAATTTCTAATTACGTTATGCTTGGTTAAGAATTCTATTCAAATCAGCAAACGAAAACATCTCGATTCATTTGAGAAGCCATATAAACAACTCGAGCTCGTGTCTCACCGGGATATCCAAACACTCGAAAACAATGTATGAAAACACTCGCGCTTCGCGCTCGTGTTCTCATACATTGTTTTCTCGTGTTTGGATATCCCGGTGAAACACTCGCTCTCGTTGTTCATATATTACATCAAGTACACATATAAAGGTCGAGTTTGTGAAATTAATGAAATGTATGTATATCATACCTATATTGCTAACAACTACAGCGTAATCCACGTTTGGTTGTCCTTCCGTCATCCGTTTTAAAACTTTCTCTGCTTCTTCATAGGCATCTTTTGCTTGCTGAGCTTCATCTGGTTGCACAATATGACAGTTGCCTTTTAGAATGTAAGCAGCGCAATAATTTTGCAAGGAACCATGTGTACCTTTCTTCAGAAGTCTTTTTCTTAAGGGTAAGAGCTTATTCAACGTTTCAGAAGCGTCCTTTGGCCTTTCATTAGTGTACTGAACGATAGCGATGTGGTAAAGTAACGTGGCAATATCTTCCCTGACTGGATCCTCTGAATGCAGCATTTCCCTGATTGCCAAGGATTTCTCGTAATGCACCAGGGCGTCGTCCAGTCGTCCCAACTTTTTCAGAGTGTCCGCCACATTTTGATGAAAAGTGGCTGTATCCATGGTCGGTGGTATTCCCTCGACGGTATTTACGCAGCAAAGATAGTATTCGAGCGCACATTTCAGATTGTCCGTTTGCTCATGAACTAATCCAATAGCGTTCATGATTTTTGCGTAATAAATTTCATTTGCTTTTGTCAACACATCTTTGCGAATCATCGTTGCTCGGAACTGTTCAGCTATTTTCAAAGCTTTCTTCAGGTCTAGCAAAGCAAAGTGGAAATGGGAGCATCGGCGATTTAGTTCGCCACGCGTGAAAAAAGCGGCCGAAGCTGTATTGGCATGGATGGATTTCGGGTCTTTCTCATAGATGTTGATAAGATTGTCGAGCAGTTCATACGCTTGTAAACATCTACCAGTATCCGTGAAAATGGATGCCATTTGCCACAGAGTGATATGGTGAGCTTCTTTGACAAATGGTCGCCGTGAAATTGTCTTTTGTATTAACGAGGCAATACGCTGGAACATGGCTTCTGCATCACGGAACATTCCATTAGCTTGATAAATTTCACCGATTCTTTGTTGTGTCATCCACAGCAGAAGCATTAAATAATCTTTCACTGAATCAGTCGGATCGACCTGTTCTTCTAGACGCCTGATCAAGTCAATGTACATCTCTTTTGCAGTATTTCGTCTTCCACAGGCTTCATAAAACGCAGCAAGATGGAACATTTGGCAGAGCTGTTGAGCGTTAGGAGCACTGGATTTAGACAACATTGTATCAATCAAGCGTCGCTGTTGTTTAGCAAGTGCGAGGCCGTCCTGGATTCTATTGGTCTGTAAAAAAATTTTCAGCAGGGAAGAATTAATCTGCAGTAGCGCGATATGACTGTTATCCTTCAATGTCTTCATTAAAACAGCTTCTGCGGTTCTCAAATGCTTTTCAGCTTTTTTGGGAGAATGTTCTCCTAAAAGTCTTCCAATTGTTAGCTGTACATGACCATAGACTTTATGGCTATCCAAATTAATCTCTTCGAACATTTGCATGGATTTGCTGAGGTATTGCAACCCTATTGATTCACGGTTTGCCGTTATTAAACAATATCCGAGTGTTCCACAACAGATGGCTAAATGGCCATGATTAGATTCCTTGCCGTGGAGTTTTTCTTCTATTTCTAGCGCTTTCTCGATGCATGTCAGACGATACGAAACATCATAAGAACAACGTGCTCCAAGGTTTGCAACACGTATAAGAACACAGGCAGTGTTGCAATCGTGGCCACTTTGTCGACATTCGATTCTTTGATTTTCGTGAATTTTCAAGTACTCTTGGTAATGATTTAAGGCTTCGGAGAACTTTCCACGCTCTTCTTCACAAAAGCCAAGATAAAAACGTATAGAGGCCATATTTGGGTGAGTGTAGCCTCTGTACAAAATCTCAGCAATTTCTTTCGCCCTGTTCAGAGAATTGAACATTTCATCCCACTGCTCATAAAACTGATATATTCTTGCTTTGGTAATTAGTGCATCGATAATACTCGGTTCGATTAACTGGTGGTCGTGAATATGAGAATAAATTATTAGTGCCAACTGAAGCAAACTATCCGCTTTTTCTATATCCTGAAGATAATAATGAACTTCGCTCAAGTTAGTTAAGCAGCGAGCAAAATAGGGATGGACAGCATTTTCCCCATAAAGCTCACTGGCAACCTCTAAAGCATTGCTCAATATAGCTTTTGCTTCTGTAAGCCTATCCTCGTTTAGTAGAATGACAGCAAGGTTGTTTAAGCACATAAAATAGTTAAAATACTGCCTCCGTTGGTTCCGTAACTTCTCAATAATGCTTCTAAGTATGGCTTCAGCTTTATTGTACTGCTTCATTTTCATGAAAAGAACAGCGCTGCTGTTAAGGACATCCAACTTTTTTTTAGAGAAATTCTCCTTCAAATCTTGTCTGTCTTGTAACTGCTGGATTTGTTCGTGCATTTTTACAGCTTCTTGGTACAGACCTTGATCAACATAGACATCCATCATGACGTTCATCGCAGTCAATAAATAATTTCTTTCAGCAACATCTGGCGCCGCTTCGTACAAGGTTTGCACCTCACGGCAATACTCAAATGCTTCTTGAAACTTGCCAACCATACGGTAACAATACGCCAACACGAGAAATATTTCAACCCTTCTGGCATTGTCCATTTCGACATCTTTGGCGGAAAGTAAACAAACGAACGCTTTGGGAAGCTGTAGAATACGTAAGTACGCCGAGGCAATTATGGTTGGCGAAATATCCTTAAAATTTACTTGCTGAAGCACTGCAACAACCAACTGTTCAGGCCCAATAGAAGTATCTTGGTTCTCGACTTCTTTAAGGATTTGGGACACGACTGATTTCAACGGTATAAGACTCTGATAAAGGCGAATGATAGCTGTCGTAAACGGACATGGGGTATTTTCCTCTTCGGAAAATGACACTTGTGGGACAATAGGTAGTGCCTCCTTCTGCCTACCTTGATTTTGGTAACACTTCAATCGAAGTTCAGTTGTGATACTCAGCGCTGCAAGCAAATTTTTGGCCCCATCCGCAGTGAGTATGTTCTTCTTACCCAGTTCTTGGATAGATTGCCACGAACTTTGTCCGAAAATTCCAAAATATTTCGATAACTGTTCAACCAGAAGACTTGTCAATCTATACACCTCTTGTTTTACGTCTTGTTGTCTTCCAAAATCTTTTATAGCCACTCCTTCGAGACGGTAGGTCTCCAATAAACTTTGCATAATCCTTAAGACTTGTTCTTGGAAACTTTTCATTCTGCTAGTATGAGTGAGGAAGGCTGACAATCGTTTTTCGTATGTGCTCGTTAATTTCTTATCGCCAAACAGATGACACGTGCTGCTGAATACGTTTGCAGTTTTCAGACTCTCGATAGAAGAGTCAGGGTCGACGTCTTGAAGCTTCAGCATTTCATCAACAGTCATGATGTATTCTTGTCGAGGTAGGCCGCGCCATTCTTTTCTTCCAAGAGGTGTCTTGGACGCCCATGGCATCATACCGTCGAACGAAAGTCCCTTGGGAATGACATCATCGTAAAACCAATCATCTTCCTTATTTTTGCTGTAGAAATTATTTAAACTGGAAATGCCAACACTTGGCAAAATGGTTTCCCCTAATTTAATCATTTCAACTTGAATAAAGTAAGTCAGGGATCGGAAATACTGGCGTTGTTCTCGTGATGGATTCTTGGTGTTGTCTTCAACCAGAATTGAAAATTCTAAATCTGAATACGGAGTAACTTCTTGCCTAGATATAGATCCTAAACCAATGATGGAGAAATTGCAGGGCGCTGGACCTGCAACTTGATTACAACAAACAAAAATTTCAGCCAGGAAGCACTTCATTTCATCGTGAATTTGTTTATACATACTTTCAATTTCGTGGCATCTTTTTTCTTCGTCTTCTGAGTTCCAATCTGGAATTTTGGTCAGCGTGGGAAAATATTCATTACCGACTCTTGAACGAATTTCTTCCAATTTTTCGCGATTCAGTAATCTTTTGTCGCTCATTTCCTTAAAGCGTTCAACGCCACTGGACCCGAATAATCTATCAATAAGCATTTCTTCTGCGTCTAAGATGGCTGCGTTGATTTCCTCGTCTTCTTTGTAACCGCTATACTTGTAAGTTCGCTCAGCCTCAAAAAGAGCGATGCTTTTCACCACCATTTCACAAAAACCATCGTCATCTAATTGTTGAGGGGCTCGGGTTAAATATATCTCTGCCATGGTGTGAAAACATGTCGCTTTCTCTTTGTTGAAGTGCGAGGAATTTGCCGAGGCGGATAGAATCTTTACAGCTTGACTGAGTGATTGTTCAGCAAGATTTGGATTGCCTTCTTTTAGGTGTTTTACACCTTCTTCAAATTTATCTACAAATACAAAAGTAGTTACAAATATATGGCTATGGTGACCTTGACATTAAAACGAGACGATATTGACCCGTTATAATCATCGGTCCCAAAAGGATGGAAGCTGTTCCTTGGTTAAAATGTTTGTAACAACGAATTAACTTTCGTCGAATAATAATAGCTGGAAAGCCAGTAACAGGTTGGCAATTCTACAGTACAGTTCACAGTGTATTTGTACGTGTTTCTGACGCCGTCAGTTATCTCACTTTTGACACAAAATTGTAGAAAATCTACAAGACGCCATCTTGTTTTTTATATACAACCGATCAGTTAATAAGTCTGTTTAGTTAATTTCAATCTATAACACTTTCGTTTGTGGAAACACCACGTAAATTTATTACTGCGAAGCTTTCGATCCGTAAGCCCGGATCTTCATCAGTGCTAATAATATGTGACTTGTTCAATTCAGATTGGCTCATTTAATCCCCGAGCCGACAGCGCGAAGCGCCGTGCGAGGGTACTAATTCCCCCCGGCTATTTACACCCGGGGAAACGAAAGCATTAGCGAAGTCTAAAGTTCATCAATTATCGCGGGTGTGACCAACGAACGACGATCTTGAGTGGGTGGTCATCCTCACTGATCTAAAAAATATGGCGGACTGGCATGGATAGCGAACACTGATTGGTCAAATTTAAAAGTTGTTGTTGTATGACAAATGACGACTTCAACTGACAGATACTTCATGAAAATAATTTTCTTTTTGCACTACAGTATTTTGTACGTTTGATTTTGACAGCTTTCAAAGCAATTTGTTCTATGAAAAAGTTAATAAAACAATTACGGTATCAAATACCAATTGACAATATATGAAGCCAAATGAAAAGCGGCAAGGAAACGACAAGAAAGCCGAGCGTCTAGCGAAAAGGAGGGAGCGGAGACGACAACGTTTGCTCGATGAGACTGCTGAGGAAAGAGAAGCTCGCCTGGGAAAGCGTAGAGAAGCATGGAAAAAAAGACTGCTGAAGCGAAAGATAAGCAAAGGCTTGTCTTCACAACGCTATGTACCAATGATACTGTAACTATACAAGTTGAAGTATGATATTCGACTCTCTATATTCGACTATTTCTTCACAATTTTCCAATAAAGAGTTTGTCATGACACGCTCAAGTCAGTATAACCAGACTGTATTTTATTTATATCAATTATCACAGCCACAGGCAATTTTATGCTGTCAAATACCGTCGGTTGCAACTAAGGGTGAACAGTTGCATATAAAACATTCTCTATTCTAATTAAAAAGCCTGTAAAGGTTTCCAGTAGGTCTCTAGCCCAACACGTTCAGACCACACAAAGTTTTGTTACTTATTATTGTACACATGGGAAACAACAATTAAGTGTTGTTGTTCTTGACAAACATTGAAGATTCTAATCACGCGAATGTCTTTATGAGCGACTGTTCATCGTTAGTTGCAAGCGGCGGTACAACATACAGTACCATGAACATTTTTCCGACTGTGACCGAATGTGCAACGATATATTTTTCAAAGTTGTTATCAATTCCTAAAATTTGTTTAAACGGCCTGCTCAGCACTTACTACTCACGATGATTTCGTTTAGAAATGCAGTTACCAGGAAAGGAACTGATTCTAAAATATGTAAATTTAAAAGCATTGGCTAACAGAATAAAGCGATGTGAAGTCAAGGTATAAACTTTTATAGTTGCTATTTGTTATAAAATCCTATAAATAAACTGATTCAACTATAATTTTGCCTCGAATTTGCATATTCTATGCTGCATGTTTATATTTTATTTTTATAGTATAAAAATAAAATTGTAATACCATGAAATTAAATACATTTCTGTTTATTGCCCAGTACTTATTTAATGTCTTCTTCACCCAGTGGTCAGAGTAAATTTCTACTTCTAGCAAGGATATAAATATTTGACAAGCAGTCTGGAATAAGCACAGGAATAACAATAAGCCATTTTATAGTAGCAATATGAAAAGTTTTTCTTTCTCCATGACTTTTCATGCATCAGCCAAATCCAAGTGTGCCCACCCCCCTCGCCCAGCCATTTTCCTGTAAAGCACATCCCGGGGGTTGGGCATTTCCACTCGAACCTTAACCCCGGCGGGGCATTTGAAATTAAGGATTTTGGAGGTTTTGCGATCACTGATAACTTAATAATAATATAAAACAAAACACTTCTATCTGCAACTTTTACAATCACTGATAACTTGATAATAATTTAAACCAGTCAAGGTGTAGTTTAAATAGGGAATAATACATGGGTGAGCGGAAATACCACATTTATTTCGAGTGTTGAACATGATATCTCACAAGTGAGCGCAGAGAACGAGTGAGATGTCATGTCAAAACGAGAAATAAATCTGGTATTTCCAAGCACCCATGTATTTTTCTGTTTATTATATAAAGGACAGTCTTTGAAAGCGATAATTTTCACATGTGAGTTTATCATGAATAATTTCACATGTGAGATTATCATTTTATCAGTGCTCGAAATCTCTGTAAAACACTATACTTTATATAATAAAAATTCATAAATTTGAACCACGCTAGAGCATGACAACAGCAAAATGCTCTAGAGTATGATGCACAATATTTTGGGAGGTGAAATACATGAACAATAAATCAGAGAGTGTTTGCTTGAAACTCACTGGGGGGGGGGGGCGGTGCAACACCCCTGATAATTGCTCATGAGGAATTTCAGGTAGATTTCCAGTGCACTTTTAGGTAAATTTAAGTAGATTTGCAGAAGATTTTCAGGGGAATTCAGGTAATTCTCTGGACTGAGTGAATTTGGAAAACAACTGTATTTTCGGAAAAATTATTATATGTCCTGAAAATTTTTTGTACATCTGGAAACATTTTGGTAACCACCCCCCCCCCTCTATCTAACCTCACACACCCCCTGAGACGAAGTGCTAGCAACGGCACTGAGTATACATCTTTTGAAAACAGGCGAGGGGTTATTGCATGCATGTATTTCTAGTTTAAATCTGTTTAATTATCTGCATGGGTAACGTCGCAACGTATAATTTTCCAACCTCAATGACTTATATTACTAGTTATTATTAAATCTGTAATTACCCACGCTAAACCCTCCACTAACTGTTGATTTGCAAAGGGGGGGGGGGCGTTTTCAAGTAATTAAAGAAATATATACAAGTTAAACATTGATATATTACAAATATAAACAATAAAGAAGAGAAATATTGGGAGTTGGGACAGGCTAGTATCGAAAATTAACACAATTACAAAAAATTTATGATGCGGCATTCTTGCGGTACAGTATTCCAGAGCTTTGCTGTACTATAACTGATCCTCGAAGTCTAATGTTCGTCAATAATCGTGGGAACGTGACCATGATACAAGGTTTCATTGGTTGGGTTTACCTCCTCGCTGATCTAGAAAAAATGGATGTTTGCCTGGAGTGGGATAAGCAAGATTTCAATTCTCAAAAACATATATTTCAAAAATCGTTTCATACAATCAGCTTCGGAGCAAGTTTTGTTTGCAAGAAATTAGAATTGATTTTATTACTATGGGAAATATTAATATAATCGTGCAGGGAAAGTTTGAATTTTTAGTGTTCATTAATGATTTCCTTTTGAATGAATTCGAAGCTGTAAGTTTTCTTTTAGTAACCCTTTTTAATTTAAGAAAAAAAGTAAAATGTAAAAGAAAGTCAAAACATTTCACGAAGCGTAATTTCAGATTTTATTATATTTATTTTGAAATCAATGGTGTTTCCCGCAATCTGTTTGGTTCACAGGAGTGCGATTTCAGCACGAATCGCACTCCTAGCAGTGCGATTCGTGCTGAAATCGCACCTTTCAACCAATCACATTAGAGTGCTGACTTCAGCCATCCAATCATATTTAATCATAGGATTCAAACAGCCAATGAGTTTTAAGAAAAATGTGATATGGCAAATGAGCAAAAACAAATAATTTACATGTCATGATTACTCTTGAGTGCCTAAGCAATTTGTTTGCACATAAAAACAAAAAAATACGGACAGCTACAGTAAACTATCACAGAATTGCAAAGAATTTTAATTTTTTGAAATTTCACAAATAGTAACTGGCAAAACTGCCAACAAAAGCAAATTTAAAGCGTCAGGACAGACACGACTACGGGAAAACAAAGGTAAATTCGCCTATCGTATTTCCAATTTTAAGCGCACACAACGCACCAAAACTCTTTCAATCACTCGTAAGACCTACAATATGTTTAAACTTACTTGTGTTGTCTCTTATTATGTATAAATGTCTTCATTTCTTTCAGTATTCGAACGTATTTATAAACAAAACTTACAAAACTATTATTGTTCGCTTATTGTTGCTATGCTACAGCACTCAGGGAGGTACTGGAGGTGTGTCTTTTGCAAACAAAAACGTTTCCGGTTTACAAAAAGTTTAATTAAGATTTCAAAATGATTATAATAAAGTGGAAATTGAACTTCGTGTCGTGTAATTTTGGACTGAAATCAAACTTGTGATTACAAATCGCACTCCCGCTTTGCGGTCGTGCGATTTTGTAATCACGAGTTTGATTTCAGTCGAAATTGCACTCCACTCAGTTCAATTACCATTATAAATTTTACGTTAAATCAAAGCTCACAAAATGAAAAATAATAAACCTACGATGAGTATTTCGAAAATTTATTGTTGAAAAGATAAAAGTACATATCTTTCAAATATTTTGTACTTTTGTACAAAAATTTATATTTAAAAATATCGTGTTGTCATGGTAACATGAGTTGCATCAACGCGAGTCTGCGTTCAGTGTTAGCTAATAATTATAATTATAATTTATTAATGTTTCGGATTCACTATACGCAATAGGTGATCAAATATGGAGTTTTAACCTAATATTCAACGCAGTGATGTCATAGCGTTGAATATGAAAAAAATCGTATTAAATATTATGACGTCATGTTGGGGAAGTACGGATACGAAATGTGGAAACATGACCAAAACAATATGGCTCCTCGCCATGTTTGCAGATTTTAAGGAAACAACTTTTAACGTATTAAAGTAGAAATATCAACAGAAACAGCCACGAGAGCTTTGAAACATCTTAAGGCACTTGGGAAAGAGATGAAGAAAGATTTGGGAGAAAAGTAGTGGTCATTAAAGAATAAAGACTGATTAGTTCGACGAATTGACCAACAGGTGCGGTTGTGTAGACATGTGTGGTAAGCCTATTTTATATATGTCGTAAACATAAAATATTTTACATACCATGTTCGTATAATATTTACTCCTCCAACACCCGAAAATTTAACAAAACGCCTAATGAATAGTATTCTAGTATAATAGCTTCTCGATTTCAATTATAAACTCTCTCATTTTGCGAGGGAACATATAACTAGCAATCGCCAAAATGGTTGCTTCGTCCCATTTTATACGAAGGTTTTATAGGCCCTATTACTGATAGGAATTAATGTATAAAACATTTTATACGAATGATCCCATTTTTTAAATGTACGTAAAATGTATAAACAAGTACAAATGTATAAAACAAATACAAATATATATGTACAAATGTATAAAACGTATTATAAATGTACAAATGTATAAACCATTTTATATGTATTTACCATTTTATATGAATGTATAAACCATTTTACACGAACGATCCCATTTTATACGAATGGTTGCTACGTCCCATTTTATTTTATTTTTTTCGATTGTGATGGATGGGTCGTTAGGACATAAGATTTATAGGAAACCAACACACACTGACACAGACAGGTATCTGCATTATAATTCATTTCGTATTTTCATCATCCTAAGTGTCTTACACACGGAGATTTTAATACTATCAAGCGAGCGAAAACAATTTGTCAGGTAAGTAACATTAACGATGAATTGGAACATAAAAAAATGAATGGTTATCCCCGGCATTTCATAGATAATGCTATGCAACCACCACAAAGTGTACAGCAGAAGATTGAATATCAGTTCTCTGTTTGTCTACCATACATTGGTCCGGCTTCACACAAAACGGATCGAAAGCTTTGCAGTAATAAATTTACGTGGTGCTTCCGCGAACAAAAGTATTATACGTTTTAATTATCGCCAAAGGAACCTACAAAGAACTTAACACAACATAAATTAACATACTAATGTCAATCCAGTCAGCTCAGTGTTAGTCTGCACGGCAACGGCACCGGACGTAGCACAGGAATTGAGACTATTGAAGGAGGTGAACTGCTTAGGCGGTCGCTCACTTCGCGTGGGTCTATGAGTGGAGGCTTAAGACGGTCGAGCGACACTGTGTCCATTCCTGTTAACGGTAAAATATTTTTCGCGCCTTTTGGCGACCAGGAATGGTCCATCATAAGGTCGTTGCAAGGGTGCTTTGTCTGCATCATGACGGAGGAAAACATACTTAGGGTGGAACGCCGTGATGTTGCGTTAGAACTGGGTGTTGTTTATTCATTGCATCTCTCAAGGGGCCAAGGAACAACGTTGGATCTAGAGAAGCATTGTTAGTATGGTGGAAAATTCTCCAGAAAGCCGTACGGTTGTTCCATAGACCAATCTGGCGGAAGTTCATCCAAGGTCATCTTTCAAGGACATCCTTATCCCGAGCATCACAATCGACAATTCGTCGTGCCAATACGGACCGTTTAAATCTGTCATGAGCGATGATTTCAATTGTCGGTGGAAGCGATCAATAATGCCGTTCGATTGGGGATGGTACGCAGTGGTGCCGTGACGCTTAATGTCTAGGAAATTCATCAGTGATGACAAAAATTGTCATGAACATCATGATCGGACATAATGGTGTTCGGAATGCCAAATCGCGAGATCCAACCAGCCACCAGGGCTCGGGCGCAATGGGTATATCGCTTCAGTCCAAAAGAATGTTGGGAACCCATGGGACTGCGGCAGTGGGCCAACGATGTCAACATGAATGTCCTCGAAACGACCATCTGGAAGGTCAAATCTCTGTAGGGGGACAGTGGTGTGGCGTTGAATTTTGGCTGTGGCACGACATACAAGTTTGTGTCCATCGACGAACATCTCGAATTAGCCTATTCCACACAAAACGTGCCCGGATAAGATTACACGTGATCCGTGCTCCTGGGTGAGGTAGATTATAGATGATATGAAATACCTCTCGATGAAAGGGCACAGGGACAATAGGCCGGGCCTTGCCTTGGGATATGTCACAGAGTAGAGTGAGAATGTCAGCCCCCTCCAGCGGTATATCTACGAGCGTAAGAGATAATTACAGACCGATATTAATTTTACCCCGCTTATCCAAGATACAGTATGTAAATCGTGTGTAAATAACCAGATGAATGAACATGACCAGCAATTCCTAACTTTCTTCGAACCCAGTTGGGTACGCGTACAAAAAACACAGCTCGACGGTGACAGCTTTAATTCAAGTCATAAATTTCCTGAAACTGGCTGTGGATCAAAAACAATATTCAGTGGCTACCTTTATCGATCTGCGGAAGGCGTTCGATAATCGATATTATTGTTCTTTCTATTCTCCTGGAAAGATTATTGAAATATGGGTTTGGGTAAATCGAGAGTAATTAGCCTTTCTAACGACCGATTTTTCCATTATGTTTGGGGTACTGCCTCTCCCACGTTTGAGAATCTCCACACCACGAAATACAACTTTTTAGTATTGTAGTTGTTTGTATAATGGTAAGCTTACAGTTACAACTTTTAACTTCACGTTGTTTGAATTGTCTAGAATCTTTCACCAGGGCAGATAGTACCCCCAAAATAGCGGATTTTGGCCTTCGTAAGAAAGGCTTATTAGATCTGCTCATATCTAACTGCCAAGCAACAATATGTCATGTATAATGGTGTCCAATCTCAACTGTTACCGACTAATTACGGCGTCCCACAAGGCTATGTGTTTGATCTCTCGCTCGGTGATTATCATGAATAAAACACCAAGCTCTGTGATTATCGTAAATAAAGATCTAGACTTATCTCTCGGTTTTTATTCACCGATAATCACCTTGCCTTCGGTGAATAATTGTTAGTTATTAACCAACGCGCCGATTTAAAGAATTCAAATGCCTCTTGGCACTCAGGAGACCATATATATCTGGACGAGGAAGATGTCTGGAGCAGTGGGGGATAACAGTTGACCATAACGAGAAGTTACTTCCGGTTTGCGGGTGGTGGAAAATCAGCAATGGCTTGGACGCGAGTCGGATGAGAGGAGAAACCTATCGCGGTAATGAGATGGCCTAAGAAGGAAAGCTGTGAACGTCCTAATACACATTTGGTAGCATTGGTCACAAGCCCATACTGGTGTAGTCGCTTGAAAAGCTGGCGGAGATGGTTGCGGTGTTTCTTCGCAGTGGAACAGAAAAATAGGTATATAATTTATATGGACAAACAGAAAATCAAGACCACGACACACTCCATCTAGCCTGCATGGCAGGCGGTTTAAAATACCGCCTGCTGGGTTTGGCAGTGTAATTTGATAACCGCCCACTTTTTTGTCCGGATCCAATTAGCCAATCAGCAAACACTAAATATACTAGAAAATACATGCATGCAGAAACCCTCGCCTTACTGACAAAACCATTATATTTTCGAAACATGAAGTATGTAAAGTAGTTGTTATGGTAACACGATAATTTTTTAAGAATATTCTTACAAATGAAAAATCGCCTATATCACTTTTAATTACAAATTTATCAATTTCCCAACATATATATGATTGGTATGATATTATACGTAGTATAAGCTTCAATTTAAGGTAAAATTCAACCACAAACGCTTCGCAAAACGTTTTAAAGTGTTTTTTATAAAACTATATAAAAACTGCCTTTAATTAAATGGCTTTATCGATAAACTTTGAGTTTGCAATAAAACTATGATTTCAAATTCTCGCATGCAAATAACTTTTCTTTCTTTTTTATTTATTTAAAAAATTCAATATAATAAAAAAAGGGAATCAATATTAAAGATACAATGAAATTGTATGCTGTCTTGTTTAGTTGTTTTATATACGCAAAGGCCGTCGGGTTTTAAAGCAATTATAAAATCAATATTTAAAACAAACTTACCTTCGTTAACGTCGGCTCCCTTCTTTTAGCCGTTCTTTCGCCCTTTCTATCTTGAAATTTACAAAATCTTGCGAAAATGCGGGCAAAAATGAAATATATTTGCAAGAAATTTATTAATCATCAAATCAAGAAATGTTTGCTATTTCGTTGTCGTCATGCAGTCGTTATGATAGAGATTATAAATAACACTAGAGGAGGTATCGAACGTTAAAAATTGGGAACGCAGCTAATGGGGGGCAAATTCAAGTCCCGGATATAAAATCGTGCACTCATTGGCTGATTTGAAACTCGTCACCAATGCGGGAACGTGAATACACATTCGGGACTTGAATTTGCCCCCCAATAGCTGCGTTCCCTCTTTTTGATTGAATTAAGATTACAATGCCTCCTCTAGTGTTATTTATAATCTCTATGGTCGTTATAATGCAAAATTTAAATTGGGCCAATTACAGTGTTCGCTATTAATGACAGTCCGCCATATTTTTGAGATCAGTGAGGATGACCACCCACGCACAGTGACCCACGACCGCGATATTTGATGAACTTAGAGCATAAAATTGCCTGTGGCTGTGATAATTGATATAAATAAAATAAAGTCTGGTTATACTGACTTGAGCGTGTCATGACAAACTCTTTATTGGAAAATTGTGAAGAAATAGTCGAATATAGAGAGTCGAATATCATACTTCAACTTGTATAGTTACAGTATCATTGGTACATAGCGTTGTGAAGACAAGCCTTTGCTTATCTTTCGCTTCAGCAGTCTTTTTTTCCATGCTTCTCTACGCTTTCCCAGGCGAGCTTCTCTTTCCTCAGCAGTCTCATCGAGCAAACGTTGTCGTCTCCGCTCCCTCCTTTTCGCTAGACGCTCGGCTTTCTTGTCGTTTCCTTGCCGCTTTTCATTTGGCTTCATATATTGTCAATTGGTATTTGATACCGTAATTGTTTTATTAACTTTTTCATAGAACAAATTGCTTTGAAAGCTGTCAAAATCAAACGTAAAAAATACTGTAGTGCAAAAAGAAAATTATTTTCATGAAGTATCTGTCAGTTGAAGTCGTCATTTGTCATACAACAACAACTTTTAAATTTGACCAATCAGTGTTCGCTATCCATGCCAGTCCGCCATATTTTTTAGATCAGTGAGGATGACCACCCACTCAAGATCGTCGTTCGTTGGTCACACCCGCGATAATTGATGAACTTTAGACTTCGCTAATGCTTTCGTTTCCCCGGGTGTAAATAGCCGGGGGGGAATTAGTACCCTCGCACGGCGCTTGGCGCCGTCGGCTCGGGGATTAATAACTATGTTATTGTTTGGTTGCAAAATTGCAAATGTATAAAAATATGTCGAAAGAAACGCCATTGAAAGTTTCAATCAGGACCTCTGAATAATGACAAGAGGTAGAAAAGCAAGCGCGGAAAATGTAAACGACTTGTCGTTTGCGTATTAAGTGTGCTTTGAAACTAAAATATGGGGCAATAGAGAAAATATCTTATATTCATATATATCGTCGAAAAAAATATTTATTTTAGGCAAGCAAAAGAAACGTTACGACAGTGGCAAAACCTTGGCCGAAATAAGCCGAATTGCCGGTTCACTTCATTTAGGAATCGAAGTTAATTCTACCTCGGAACTATCCGACCGAGTTTGTAAACCGCGTGAGCGAAATATCCGAAATGCAAGCGAACTGATTGCCTGTGTACGTTCGCGTTGCCTGTGTACGTTCGAACAAATAGACAGTTGTATATTAAAAACCTCAGTTGCTAATATGAACTGTCTCGTCTCCCTAACGAAGCCGTGTGGTAACGAAAGCCTTAAAACGTTCAGAAAGTGAAGCGGCTAATAGGCCTACGCGTAATAGTCCTGTTATAAAACCCGTTGCAAGAAAGATTACACGGCCGTCTGTATCTATTCTCGTTATATTTTCTCGCGCCAACAAGAACGATGTAAAAATCAAGCTTTTCCCATAGAACGGCCAAAACTTTCTTTCCAAGGAGTAAATCTTTAACTGCTATCTCTTGCTCGCGTTAGACAATCAGTTCGCGTTTCGACTTTCGAGAAGCGTTCAGTTTTACAACAGCTATTAATTAAAGCACGGTTAGATTAAAGCGAACGCATGTATCATTAAAGTGTTAAACGTATGTTTACATATTAAAGTGTATTAACTTTTGAGTGACAGCGGCTCAGACTCGCAGCCAATCATCAATTCCCGTCCACTGATGGACGGGGAATTCTATTACACTGCCAAACCCAGCAGGCGGTATTTCCCAGGCTTGCCCAATTTTAGGAACCGCCTGCCATGCAGGCTACACTCCATCAGGCGCATGGCATGCGCATGTGCCGGAATTCAAAGAGACCAAATGGAGTAACAACTGCTGTTTTTGGAATATCCTCTGGTGCAACGGGAATCTGATGGTAGGCACGGACAAGATCAGTCTTTGAGAAAATTGATCAACCTGCTAGACAAGCAGAGAAATCTTGAACATGTGAAACCGGATAGCGGTCTGTTTTGCTGGCTGCGTGGAGGGCACAATAATCACTACAAGTACGCCAGTCACCATTAGACTTAGGAACTATATGGAGAGTTGAAGCCCAGTTGCTCGACAAGGCCTGTATAGTCCAGAAGCTATCATTCGATCGAATTCCGCTTTGGCAGCAGCGGACTTTTCTGGAGCAAGGCACCGAGCCTGCGCAAAGGTCGGGGACCATCGGTTAAAATGTGATGTCTGATATTATGCTTCAGTTATAATCTGTTAACATGCGTACAAAGTCGAACTCAGAGTCGATGGTGTCAGACTCATTGTCTGACGTGACAATGGGTATGCTATTTTACACAAGGGTGTCAGGGTTGAAACCTGTACTGACATAGTAAATGGTGTCTCTGTGTCCACTAAACAAGAATTAATTATAAAGGAAGGGTATGGGAACGAAGGATCCGCTCGATACGGAAAATACTCTCGATATTAGGTAATCAGTTGGTAAACGATGAAACCCTTTTGAACTGAAGTGGAGAAAATCTTGAAGGACAGGCCGTTGATTCATGTAACGAGTAAAGCCCAATGATCTTGATCCTTTTACCCCTAGTCAGTTATTGTTGTTACGACCTAATTCCTGTCTACCATCTACAGAACTCGGTAATCTTGTTCCATACAGAAAACGTTGGAAACAGTGGCAATACCTTGCAAATGTTGTTTGGAAGAGGTGGTTCAAGTAACATTTACAGATCCCGCAAGAACGACAGGAATGGTTTCGCTCTTAGAGAAATGTTCAAGTTGTTGATTTAATTTGATTAATCAGGAAAGTGTTTCGATGGTTAATGGCCCAAAAATTTAATTGAAGAAGTGTTTCCTGACAAATATAAACACGTCGATCCGTCAAGAGGTGGCAAGGATGCTACCGTTTTAATTTAAGATGATAATAAGAATAAGTAAAAGAAAAATACAAAAATTATATTACTAGTATTAATTTCGCAATTTTAAGTTGGAGACCGGTGTGTAATCACGAAATTAAAACAGAATAGTTAAAATAATAAATTATAATAAATGAATAAATTCACACATAATAGTTAGTATAAATTTATTAAAATGTCTAAGTTTTAATAGCTCTAGCTATTTGTGGCATCCACAAACAGTGTTAAAACCAATTTTCAACGTTGAAAAATACGCAAGCTGGGAGGGAAATAGTAAAATATTTCAACAAAATTAAAAACAAAATATTTCGAAATAATGCACATTGAAAATTCGCGGGATGACAGTTTGTCAGTGATAACTACCAATTAGAGCCAGTGACGTCATGCTCGCGGCGGCAAAGGCGAAAATCCGCTGTTTTTTGGCGCAGCTTTTTTATGCAGAGCGCGTCCTCCAGTAATGTGTATAGTTCAGTGAGTGCTATAGTCCGTAGATCCTCTTAATTTTAAAAGCCTTAATAATCGTTGAATGCTGCGTAAAGCGAAAGATGTGGTTTTATAAGTTTATTCACACGAGCAAAACAATGCTCGAGAAGCTATTATTGCTCATTTTGACAACCGTATTTGATATAGTTTGCCAGAAGGGTAAAGGACGTAGTGAAGCGAACTCGCGGGCCCGAATCAACTAACCCACCCTCCTTTTGGAAAAAAAGTGTTGACCGCTGTAATGTAATGCATCAGTGGGTTGTCTTCTTATGTTGATATAATACAGAATGTAGCTTTAATTAAAGTGCATATGACATGAATTTTCTTATTTTCTTAAACGAAAGAACTCTTTAAGCTGCAGTGTAACTTATTTTTCAGTTTCTTGTTTTATGGTTTGTTCCCGAGATATTTCAATGTGTTTGATATGTAAATGGTGTGAATATGTCCGCTAATTTATGACGTCATGTTGGTTGCAAGCTCAACTTACACTGGTTATAAATCTATTAACTCTAAAAACTGCAGATACCTGTTCACGTTTTTCTCCAGTGTTTCATCACATTTACAAGTGAGTGAAGTTTGAAATTATCATCTTGGATAATAGCAGTGATATTCAACCATTTTGAAGAGCTTGCAACCAACATGACGCGTCATAAATTAGCGGACATATTCACACTCATTTACATATCAAACAAATTGCAATATCTCTGGAACAAACCATAAAAACTAGAAACTGAAAAATAAGTTACACTACAACTTAAAGAGTTCTTTCATTTAAGAAAATAAGAAATTTAATTTCATGTCATATGCACTTTAACGCAAACAAAGGTATTTGTTTGAATCTGTGAATGATACGCAATAGGAAGGATCCTTTTTGTCAGGGTATGACTTATAAAGACACGAAAACGTTTTTTTGATAAAACTTGAAAGCGCGGATATGACTTATAAAGCCAGAAAAAAGTTTTTAAATTATGTCAACGAGAAGATAAGTCATCCGTCCGTCGCCATCCGTCCGTATCAGCGTTTTATTCTAACCCCGTTGAATAATGTACACCAAGCCAAGTCGATGCCCTTTTGACGTGGAATCATGTTGGTGATTTTCGCTGTCCTACAGAAATACGTACATCGTCCCTGCATTTAGTTAAATTTTTTAACAAGCGAAAAATTTGTTTCGTCGTAGGCTATGCATAATCAACAAAGACTACTTCTGTGAAAAGTTAAATACAACATTGACAATCTTCTGTCAGCGAAGTGGAAACTGACTTTTTTGTTTAATTTAAGAAATACAGTATTTTCTGTTGGGAGAACAATCGAGAAGGGTGAAATCCTTGATCTGCAATCTCAGGTTTCCATACAGATGCTCTCGAGATCAAGGCTCAAGCTTATCCCAAACCATCTTCTTGTTTGCATAAACCATAGAAACGGGGAACGACGAAACATGGAAAACGTCTTTTACATTTATACGTATTGTCAATTAACTTCTAGTTAGATCGCTCGCAGAACTGAATATGCATGTATACATGCTATCATTTTCCTGGAATTTGTAGCCGACTGCATGTGTGCTGCAGCCAATGCATGCATATATAAACGTATATATGAGTGTGAATAGATCGATGCCGTAGATTCCCTTGATGGTTTTATATATTTAAACACAACATTTATTTGTCTTTACTTTAGTCATTTTGCCCGGTTTAGAAATGTAAAATACTAGAAATAACTTATAAAACCTTGTAGAGAAATGTTATAGTTGTCGTGCGCATTCAGCCGGCAGGATTAAACAGTTAATACTTTATTTCTAGTTGGCGCTTAATGCCGGACTATAGCGAATATTAGGTTAAAGTATTTGAAATAAACGGTTAAATTAAAGATATAAAAATATAGTTGAAATACATGCTATATAGCTAGCTCGATATACGGCGGCAAGCAATTGGTGTACAACGTCAAAACACCGACGTTCAACAGATCAACAGAGCGAATAATGAATGGAATTTCCGTTGTTAATAAGAAGCATTTGCCACATGCAACAGAATTGAATTAATTCATACAACACCCTGCTGGCAAGAAACTGGTATATATCACAACACACTGTCAATAATCTTCTTCTTTGAACAACCGACTACATGCACATGCAAGAGCTGCAGATAATCGCGATGTTCTGTGAATTAGCAAGACGTGTCAGGCGTTTAATTAGGCGGAAGTTGTAAACACTCGCTGTTAAGTTGTAATAGTAAACACTGCTTTAATTTAACTTTTAAATTATATATGATGTGCACAAGATTTGTAATCAACTTTTAACTGTCTTACCTTTCCAGTTTTCATTTTTTGTTGATGGAATATTGAATGAAGGAATGTCGAAGGGTTGATCATGAACATCTCTATCTGCAGAGAGAAATTACCTTTAACTGATTGGAATTCGATCATTAAGAGTAATTCGATCCTAACTTTTTTCAGCGAAATTAGCTATATTCTCTCATCAGCAAGAGGAGAAAATTAAATCGCAACTAAACAGGTCCGCTTAATACTTTGAACAGGTCGACATCTTAATACATTGTGAGATCCAGCAAAATCGCCTTGAAGTTCGTTTGAATTGATTTGTATATAATAAACATTAATAGCCGATAAAGCAAAAGTTATGCGAATACTACATATTACTGAAATACGAGGGCTCCATACTGATAGACTGCCATACATGTACATGTATGGCAGTATACATCCGTACATCAGTATAAAATTTGCACATTTACTACAGCCGCGTACAAGCAGTCAACTGACTCAACTTGTATTCAAGCATAGCAGTTATGTCTAGCGAGTGAATTATACTATATTAATATTCTCCTATCAGTTTTGTCTTTGAGATTGTTGATTGCGTACGAAAGTATACCTCGATCATGAACCGATGAACGGAATTATAACATGCAGATGCAGTTCAAACTCGTTCTTCAACATTGCCGACGTAATAAATCAATTTACAGTAATAGATTGGGCCCAAACACTGTTTGATGGCCGATTATAGGAATTTATCATTTTCAAGAAGGAATACAAATCATAAGAGAAGATGATGTGAACGTACGAAGTACTCACCGAAGACAAAGGTCGTCTTGAATGATTCCATTCATGCATAGCAGATGCAGTAAAGTAATTTATGTTGTAAAATACTTTTGATATACAGCTATTTCAATTAAGGTTATCCACGAGCAAAGCGGAAAAGTCGAATACGAGCGCGAAGGGCTGCTGGGAATCGCTAACAAATTAATTCATTTTCAAAGCGGTTCCCAGCAGCCTTTCGCGCTCGTATTCGACTTTTCCGCTTTGCTCGTGGACAACCTTAATTGAAGTAGCTGTATCCATAAAATCATTATGCTACAAGTTTGACGAGTCACAGTATGAGCTTTGCCGTTTACAAAGAGATTTTAACTGTGCGTGGCCTGCACAGTCACGTGGTTTCCCACGCATCTGATGGTCAAGCCATGCACATCTGCTGCGCAGGCTAGCCAGCTCATTGAAATACAACCCGTTCCTTTTCAGGCCGTTATTTCCGCTAGATTTTTTTTGAGGAGATTTTTTTGTATGTTACGTAACACGCGCTCCGGCAAAACTAATGCGTATAAGTTTGAATGGGCTTTTATAGCGAAAGAAAAATTTGCAAGTTTCCTGTACAAAAAAGGAAATAAGTAGATAACGTTTTTGGCGTCTACTGGAACAGTAGTCGACATATGCTGTCGATAAGAGGTTTTGAACGTTATATCGTTATATAGAGTGGAAGGTTCACTTCTCCTCGATCATGCTCTTTGGTTAGTTAAAGCCCGCGCATCTACGAAAGTTTCCGAAATGTTTACGTTTATATATATATATATATATATATATATATATATATATATATATATATATATATATATATATATATATATCGGTGTTGTAGAGCACTCTGCGGAGTTAGTTGGGTGTCCATTAGCCCGTGTTGTATCACATCGCCCGTGTTGTATAACATGCGCTTGGGAGAGCAAGTGTCATGTATATCAATACGAAAGTCATTGCGTGAAAGTCATCTCAAGTCATCGCACATTTCAAGTCTGATTACCAGCCATGGACTGGTTCTGGATCACCCAAAACACCGCCTGAAATCCCCACCCGAAACACCGCCTGAAAGCCCCATCCAAAACAGACTTGGATAATCCGACCCTCTGAAAATGCCTCTTTCTTCCAATCTAGCCGACCCCCAGTACACATTTATTACATTAGATTCACCCCAGCCGGGATCACGCTAAAAGCCCTTTTTAGACGCTGTTCAAGCTTGTTTTTCACCATTATAGAAAGTTAGTTCTAGAATGAGCATTTCCGGGGTTGTGGAGCCAAACCGAGGTCACCCTCCCAACCCCTGTGTAAACCCCAATCCCCACCTCACTTTTCATTCAATACCACCTACACCAACTAAATGACCTACGCAAACACATCATCATCCGACCAATCCGTGTCCAGTGGTTTAATAGTATCGCTGTCAGAGTCCGACTCATAGTACGAGGTGTCACTTCGGGGTTGGTCTATTCGGTCACTACCATAAGAGCGAGTCGCTTTCAAGTTCATAACCACCTTCTAATTCATGGTGACCGTACGCGTAGCTTGTTATCCCATCGTCTCTTAGATGTCTCTTATCATCGAAACAGCTTAGCGTCGCCTTCCTGCACGTATGTTCCAATCTGATGTTTCACACTACGCATCGTATTCGTGTTATGCCTCAACTGTTTCTTCTCACTTATTACATTCATGAAGTCATCATGTGTTAACTTGTTCTTGATGACGTACTTTTTCACACCCTTAGCTGTCATCCCACCTTTACCATCCTCCTTCATGTAACTATACATCTTACTTCTCAGGCCGCAGAATTCCACAATGGAAACACCACCGGCCTCGTCCTTGAACTTTCCAATCACTTTCTTGTTCCGGTCATAGTAAAAGGGTGAGTCCTTCGGATAGTCAGAGTTGTCAAAGGTGTCATTATATTGTATTTACTGATCTCCTCAAAGTCAGAGGTATCAGACGAAGTGCTTCTTCGATGGCAGCTTGTTTGTTTCAAGTTTCTTCACACTGCTCATGAACTCGTAAGGGAATATTCCCTTCTGTGTTACTTACTAGGTTGAAGTCCTCTCCTTGCCAACGCTGCCCTACCAAGAAGAACTCTTCCTTCGGGAGGTAGCTAGCCAGTGACGCAAGTGAGGAAGCCATGCCATGAATTGTATTGAGTCGATGAACACTAAGTGTTTTCCCAGTGAGAAGGACAAATACTTTTCCATGTTATTTGGTATCACGTTTACTTCAAGACCAAAGTTTCCTATCTCCTGCATTATCAGGTGGGAGTCGTATCCCCTCAAGTTGTGGAATACCACTGGGATTTTCCATGAGAGTTTGTGATTGAGGTTACACTTGTTATGTGCTGCACCTTGATATCTACTTGTGACATGACACCTCACCTTGTCACCACCTTCCATTTTCTCACAGCACATGTGGCACATGGTTGCAGCCGGGAATTCTATTTCCTGTTCATCTGTTATTATCATAGAAGCGATATATTTACACATCTCAGCTTCTTTGAATACTGCCTTCAGGAATCTATATGCTGCGTCTTTGCCAGCGTAACTCGTGTACTCACCTGAGTGGTAGTCGTCGTAGTGACATACACGTTTCAACCCGAAGCTACATGCGTGGTGAGTCTGGTATCTGTTCGTGTAACTTTCGTCCGCGCTATCATCCAATTTCCTGTCTCTATCAGAAACAAGCAGTGACTCGAAGTCAGCGTATATCACGAATGGCACAAGCAGCTGGTTCTTGTGGTTTTTAAACTTGATTTTTGTACCCTCCTTCGGTAGCTTCACTGCCTGCACTCCATTCACCAGTGAGCAGGTCTCCTCATGGGTGGCTAGGGATTTTTCACTCTCACAGTTGTGGAAACAGTTCAGGCAGAAGCGCTTCTTGGTTTTATTCTTGGTGACACTATTAACGTCCTAGCTTTATCAGTACATAATGAAGAGAGCCTTCACCATCACCTAGCAGTAACAATTCCATATGATCCTCATATTCCTCCAGTCCTTAGAGATCCTGATTGGACAGAACTGCTTCTTTGCCTTATAACCCAACACTGTTATGCTGATTTTGTTTTTCGTCTTAATCTTTCCAATGTCACTTACTTTAACTGGGAATTCTATTCCCTCATAGTATAGGTTATCCGCGTATTCCATGTCCTTTTTCGTTATGTAGGTAGCATTGTTCTTCTTCGGTCTGTCATGTCTCACGTGACACCACACGAAGCACTTCGCGTCATCGTTCCTAATATTCATCAACCCTGACATTGGGTTGCTAATGTCCTCAGGCTACTTCATGTAAGAACTACCTCTCAGCTGTGGTTTGTACATCGCGATGTTCACGTAGTGGCTCTCAACATTCATTATTCTCCAGTTACTACCAAGGTTCTGGAATGTTTCAATTCTCAGTAGTATCATCTGCTCGTTCGCTGCGGCTGTACTTTCAATGTCCTCAAAGTTTGTAACGGTTCCTGTCTTCGACTTGAAGTATACTGAGTCTTTCTTTGTTTTTTCCTCCCCAACTTCCTTTGACATTCTAACCTTCATGGTTTCTGTGTATTCTAAACCACCCATTCTCTTCAGCTCCTTCACTAGTATGCCCCTCACGACTTGCCTACCTGATGTTAACTGATCTAGTGGCTCAATATGTAATGCTGTGATTGAGTATGTGACTGCTGCTCCGTTGACTGCAGTCTCAATCTTCCTATGACCAGGCTTCTCCAGCCTCGTCCCCGGCGCTTTGATGTTGCGTGACGCGCGCGCGGGAGGACACGCGTGGGGGGGGAAGGAAAAATTCGGAGCGAAGCGCCTGGGAGAAAATGCTTTCAAGATGGCGGACAAAACAAGTGATTTGCACTTTTGTCTTGACAACGATAGTGAAGATGGTCAGTATAAGCAGGTAAACATTTTAAAATTCAAATTACTATTTTAGTATTTCATGGAATTTTTGAAAAAATGTTGGGAATAAGTGATAGACTTTATTTTTTAGGAAATAAGCCACAAATATTTATGTGTGGTTGTACATATAAAACCTTTTTGTATTTACTGTAACTTTATGCGATAATTTCATCCCTCAATCCCGAAATTAAATGGTTGCACAGTACAGGTATATCAAGAGATGAAACTATGATGTGCTAGTATATTAAATTGGGAATTAAGGTTTTACATATTTAGTCAAGGGTTTTGTTATGCATGAGCTTGTGGTGAACTCGCTGAACTGGTGCAGGACAGAGCTCAGCTGCTAGGGGCAGCTGATCTGAGAAGTGAGAAGGCATGTTTTATATCTAGGATTGTAGTTTATGTCCTCTCTGATAGTTTGTTGCATGTATATATTAAGTTATCAAAGGGGCAGTGTCACGGTTCTACTGCGCATCCAAAATATGCGCGAACTTGAAAAACTGTCTGCCAACAATTAATCAAGTTAGGAGTGAAATACGATATACTATTTATAATCCCTTGGTTATGCAGGACATCCTTGCTTTGTTTTAAAAATTGAAGGCTGCTGCTGCATCTTTTCAATCATGTAGCATTAATTTTAAACGTTTCTTTGCGCCGTTTATTTTAGCCAATCAGCGCCGTGACACTGCCCCTTTAAATTGTTTCTAGTTCTGCCATGTTTCTGTCCCTGAGGTTATTAAGGGCTGTTAATGCGGACAGCTAACCCAGTAAGCGAGACCTCACCGTGTGGTTATTTTTATGGTGGATATTCCTTTCAATTTGTATGGATAACCTAGTGACTGGCTCAGAGAGATCTCACTTGAACAAGCAACATCTCAGTTATACCGGGAGGATATTTTATATCGGGAGGATATTTTGTACAACAAAATTGATCATGACAATATTGTCAAAACAATAGAGACGCAGAAATTTCCAACAATGAGTGCATGCTACTGACATTGTTATTGAAACTGAGTACCAAGCAACATGTTTGAAAATTAAAGATGCAAATTCTTGATTAATTTTGTATTATTTTAGATTAAATTAATAATTATTAAACCTAACTGTACAATCAAGTTACATGTACTAGAGTATTATTATAACTTTGTAGCTCCATAGGCTATTTTTTCGCTGTTCCAGGTTTTGATCCACAAAGTTATAGAGAAAAGTCATTGTTAGTTCTGCCAAGTGCTAGTGTACCACTACACCTCTTACGATTTGAACATTCAAAAGAACTTGTATTAATCTCTTGTCCACATGACTTACATCACCCTGAATGAGAAATGTCCATTATGCTTATAAAATAGTAACAGTGCGTATCATTAGAACACACTTTGAAGAAATATTTAGTCACATATCCCACAATCCGATTACAGGGAAATTAACTTTAGAGTAGAACCCAAACCCAACTGTTCAGGTAGACATTTATATGTTAACCCATTAAGGGCCAGCCAGCACTCTCCTGTTGACGAGTAAAATTGTTGGTGTTAGACACTTAGACAAAGTAACATAATAAAGTAGGGTGCAATGCAACCTATTAAATGGGTTCGTTAAGGTACGTTTACACGCTGCGATTTGTCGGGCCGATTTTGCTCGCTGTATGTAAACAACCTGTCGTGAATACTCGCGTCAGCACATTGCGATTCACAAAATCGGGAGAAAAATCTGTAACAAAACCACAGATTTTCTCACGATTCAACGATTTTTCTTCCGCTGTAAAGCTGTTGAAAACTTTTCGCACGCAGAAAACTATAATATGAACAGACGAGAGAGCGGACAGCTTCAATTGAACGTTTAAATCGCTAAATGTCGAAGAAGGGACATCGATTTTTTTTCAAAATCGGCCCGACAAATCGCAGCGTGTAAACGTACCTTTATGGTATGTCAGATAAATTGACTCGTGCAATTTTTCACATATGAGTTCTGGCATTTATAAGCCCTAGTTTGAAACCAACTTTAAAGCCTACAACAGGTAATTGCAGCCAACTATTAAGTTAACCCATTAGGCTGCCATGCACCCAAGCTTGTTATTTTACTTTCAGACCCTCTAATGGCAGGCAATTTTACTTCTCAAGGGGACAGTTTTGTCCATTAATGCATTAATTGTGTTTCTTAACTCCCAAAAAGTTTCATTTCACACCTTTCATTCCTACAAATACTTTTAGAACTACAACTCTAATGACTGTGGGATTTATAAAACTCTGACAAATTATGTTTGGCCAGATGAATATTGTAAACATCTGAATATAAGCCCTGGGCTTATATTTGTTTGTACTTTGTAAGCATTTTTGATGGACTGAGCTGTTGGAATCCTGGCCCTCACTGCATTAATAAATACCTGTCGAGGGGCTTGCATTAGAGGTGGCTTATATTCGGAATCGCCCGAGTAAATATGGAAGGTGGGATTATACATAGGGGGGGGGGTTATAGTGGGGTTATATGTTGGGGGTTATATGTTTATGGTAATTGCTTGATTGCAATGGGTATTGATGGTTTGAATCTGATATCTTTGGCCTAGCAAAACCTTTTTTTCACTTGTCTGTCATGAATTGACAATTTAATAATACAACTACACAGTAATTATAAATATTAACTGCCACAAAGAACCTGGCAAAGATATCACTCAAAATTTGTCAGGGAAAATTTACTAATACTAAATAAATATAAGTGTTCAGTATAAAGGACTCCGAAATCATACGCAGCCTTAAAACCCAACGAACACGTTGATCAGAATGATTTTCATATAAATATTTGATTCACATAAATATTAAAATTATAAAATTATAGCAGTCAACAAGACAATAAATCATATTAAAATATATAATGAGACAAATTCATACAAATTTACCTTCAAAGGAAATATTGTGAAGAGATTCACTGATCTCGTCCATGATTCCCTCGTGAATAAAGCAAAATAATCAAGAAAATCGAACAATGGCTTCGAAAGTTCAGAAATCGACAGAAATTTCAGAAATCGACACGTTTTCTGCGAGGCGCTTCCGCGTCCCGTAGTGAGCAACGCACCTCGATTCCCGCGCGTGCGTCACGCAACCAGTAAGCACATCAAAGCGCCAGGGACGAGGCTGAGGCTTCTCCAGGTCTGTGCCGAATGGGTCTGTCTCGGGTTCCTCATAGTTTTGCACAGATGGTCATGGTTTGTCTTCCTTCGTCTGTTTCATTGGTTTTCTCAACTTCACTGGTAGTTTGGATGTTTCAGGTGTTGTTACGGGTTTCTTCAAGTTAATTGTTACTGATGATTTCACAGTTGGCTTTGCTTGTTTCATGGGGGACGTTTGTACTTGCTTAGATTTGATTCTTACCGTTCAGATTGTGTTTGGGGTTTGGGGTTCTACCAGGTTCATCTGGACACTTGAGGTATATTTCTTTGTCCTAGGTTTGGGCACTGGTCTTACCCTGGGAACCACAGGTGTTGTCACCTTGGTCGGTATCACTGTCCTAGTTTTGGGTTTTGGTCTCCATGGTTTTACTCCTTCAGGTATCTTTGGTGGTCACGGGTTGGTCTTTTCGTGGGTGTGCCGAATGTTGTTTTCAGGTCTGCCTTTCGCTTCTTGGTTTCTGTGGTGGTGTCTGTAAATGGGTCTAGTTCCAGGTCATTGGCTATTCTCCTTCTTTTAGGAATTTCCATATCACTTACTATACCACTTGTAGCTGATATTTTCTTTAAGATAAAGTTCACTCCGGATTTTCCTGACATCGTCTCACTCACTATACCTTTAGTTGAGAAAATGTTTTTTTCTGTTGAACGCACCCCGGTTTTTCCTGACATCATCTCACTCACTATTCCACCACTATCTGATTTTTTCTTTAAGTCAAAGTTCACTCCAGATTTTCCTGACATTGTCTCACTCACTATACCCTTAGTATAGAAAATAATCTTTAAGTCAAAGTCATAAATTTTGGACTTCCTATAATCTTGAAATTTTTTGCTGAGCTAGAAGCTTTGATAGGTTATTCATGAAGCGACTTTTAGTGTTTGAGTTTTTGAAGTCAAACAGAAGACTTAACGAGCCTGGGACCAAACAACTGGTAAGCTTGAGTTTAGGAATGTTGATGTATAACTCTTCCCCCGGACTGATTGTTGTTGGGTTGAACGTGACCACACTTCTAGTGCGTGGTCCCTTAATTGTTAACATTTCGCTCCTCCTAAAGCCAGGCTCTAGTTCCCTCTCCATGGTATTCATTTTATTATACATTAGTGGATGTTTACCGTTGCAAGTAGTCGAACACCAGCAGTGTAACCGCTAGTATCACATACTTGTACCTTTATCAGGTAGGAAGCAGCGGGACATAAAAACGATATCGTCCCGGATATCGTTTTTTGTCCCGGATATCGTTTTTAGTCCCGCTAAATTTCGCGCCTTGTCAAAACAAAGATGGCCGACTCGAGGTTCGTGTTGGTCACTGATATATATCAGTGGTGTTGGTTGATGTCAACAGTTTTATCGAAGGAAACAAGAACAATAATACAAAACGAAAGACTTAAATTGTATATTATTTATATGAATGGCTATTTATTTTCTAAAATCATATTTGTTCAGTAAATGATCAATTTTTTTGAATTCTAAAATGATCCTATTTTTTCAAAACTGTTTACTTTTGGGTGTCAAACCCTGATAAAGGTCAAGTATATAATAAATAGGTTATCGTACTCGGGATTCGGTGATATCAGTTTTATCGCTCTCGGGAAGATATCATAATTGTGATATCTTCCCAAGAGCGATAAAACTGATATCACCGAATCCCTTACATGATAACCTATATCTACCATGACCCATAAGTGTGACGCTAACCATACAATACCCTTTGCACCCCATGACAGCGCCGTTGCGATGGCATTAAAGACTGGTACAAAAATTGGGGCACCTTTTTTAGCTATGTGGGCAAGAGCTTTTGCGACTTTACTTGTTGCTTTCGCTGTTCCAACAATTACTCCCCTTCCATGAATCAGTAGAGCTGTGATAAGACTTGCAGTTGATACCGCTACTCCAGTCAGTCCCACCATTTCCTTCCTTGCCCATTTCGCGAATTTGCGGAATCTGGAAATGTCGTCTTCCTGTGCTTGTCTGCCTTCCTCTAATTCTCTCTGCATGACTGTCCTATCCCTTGCTTCGCTAAGAGCTAATATTCTTTCTTCCAATCTGAAGAACTCCTCTGTGTCGTCCGTTTCATCCCGCAGCTCCATTGTTTTGTTGATTGCGTCCTGGAAATAGTCTACTTGTGTTTTCAGAGCACCATCATCACCTAAGCGTGACTCTCAGTCAATCGTATCAGTTGGATTCAGTACCCCCCTAAGCTCAGAGTTTTCTTTGGGGGTTAGACCTTGTATGTCATATCTGGTTACCCTCACATCTATGAGTTCAATGTCTTCAAATGTGTCGACCTCCGATCCTCCGGGGTCGTCCTCATTCAAGGCAGCATCTGTGACTACACTTTCATCATCCCCTTCGTTTGTGTAACCCCGGGTGCTAGTCGCAGGTTCCTCCCTAATCTTCCTCACTAATTCTTTGTACTCTCTCAGTGCTGGGGAATTCTTGGAGTATGTTGGTCTTCCCACGTTTCATTATCTGGGTACCACTTTTGTTAATACCCTGCTCACGTTTTAAAAATTAAGACCTCTGTGCCATCATTAAGGGTCCTGATCGATGACCTCTTAATGAGTTCCCTGACATTTTTATTCCTAGGGTTGAGTGCTAGTTTCTCCTTTGCTTGAACAACGTCTCTTTTCTTCTCTGCTGTGAGACGGTCTTCTGAGAACTTCTTTAGCTTTGAAAGTCTTTCCTCAATGTCTTCCCAACTAGCGTCAAACGAATCGTTGAACGCATCAATGACATCTGGAGGTAATCCTTCTGCATCATCCACGAACTGAACACTTGGCACGGTGGTGCTCCCGAATGTATGGGCTATTCCACGTTCTTCCATTCGCTTCTTCACATACTCAATTTCACTGTTAATGTTAGTAATAGCCAGTGGGTCTGAACCGTACTTTACCTCCCTATGTAACCTCCCCGTCAGTTCGTCAAAGTTCGACAGTAGGTCGTGAGTAGTCGACAGTAGTCCATGTCGTCATATGCTCCAACTCAATGTCATCGTATTCTCCAGTGTCCTCCATCTCATATGCTAATCTATGTTAGGGACTTAATGTCCCCGGCTGGTATCCAACTGTTAAACTTGTCGCCGTAACCTAACCACTTCACAAAAGCCATTCTCTTACCTTTCACTGTCCTTCTTCTTAGGACTTTCTCTATCTTGAAATCAGGTTGTCTTCCTTCAGCACTTGAAAGCTCTTGTTTATAGAACCTACCAATTATTGGTTCACCGGCACTGTCTTTGATTGTGTATGTGTTTGGGTGCCCGTGGTACACTTCCGTCACAGTGAATAACTCCTCTGTAAAGTTTGCTTCGTACCCCTTCGCAAAAACTGATTTGTACTTTGAGATCCTAACGCTTTCTCCAACAGTAAACTTTGGTTCCAATGGTTCACCTAGGTCGTGACTGAAAAATGCTTCCATACTTCAGTCCAGTTTGTCTCATCGACCCTATCCGGCCTTACTCTAATTGACCTGTTTACTGAGCTGTTGTAATTGTCGGTTAAATCTTGAAGGACGTCTAACCATTTGTATGTGCCGGCACTGTAGAAGTACTTCCACATTAGTGCTTTCAGTGTTCTGTTGAACCTTTCCACAACCGCGGCCTTTTATCTGAGTAAGCGGAGAAAAACTCAATGTTATGTTTGTTGAGCAAAGACTTTACTTCTTTGTTGTAAAACTCTGTGCCTTTGTCAAACTGAACCAATTTTGGGTACTTCCCGAAGTGATTCTTGAACTGCTCTAAACAGTTGCTAACAGCTTCATTCATTATTGATGCGTTTTTCCTGTGCACTGATACTGTGAACGCGTACCTACTCAGAATTTCGATGGATTTTAGAATCAACCGGTATCCCTTGTTCTTGTCATCATACTTCGTCATGTCAACTAAATCCATTTGTAACTGCTCACCTAAAGTTTGGACGAACGTCTGTCTGAACTTGTGCCTCTCTAACACTTGTCTGTATCTAGTGTATGTGTCCTGCTCTTTAATCCATTTTCTGGCTTGGGCTTTGGTCACTTCAAGTCCGTCTGATATTGCTCTTAGGTATAGTTTTTCTGGTGTTTGGAAACCTGTCTTAGGATTGTAGTAAATATCTCGTAGACCCTGCTCTTTCATAATATCATTGTCCATCATATATTAACCAATGTAATCCTACTATTCAAGATACCCCTGAGGGACCTCCCTCGAGTGATATCACTCGAGGTACATCTCAATGAGTACCTCGCCTATATCAATTCGTTTCCCGTCCTGGTCAGGAACATAAGTTCTGAGCATGTTACCTTAACAATCGAAGTCCTGCTCTCAACGTCAATGTAGTCGGCTACCGAACCGAACAACGACCGGTCTGTTGGGACTGTGACACTTGTTATTACATCGCTTGGCTCCCCTCAGCGACCAATGTAGTAGCTTTTACTTGCAAGATTACAATGGAGGTTTACGAACCTGAGACCATCGTTGAAGTCAACCCTACTCTCACCACCAGTGCTGGTACCTTTTAATAACACAAGCTGATCAAACCTTATCAATCCAAGCATCTCTAACGGTTTTCTTTTGATTGTGACTTTGTGTTTTGACGTCTCTATCCAAGTCTTGGCGTTCTGATGGTAGGACGTTAATGTGACCCCACTTCTTTCCAGCTTTTCTTTCATATCATTGAACGTATAGTATCCTGCATCCACATCTACATCCACAAGTCCATCATCTGTTTCCACTACCATTATAGTTATTTGTTTCCTGATATTGATGAACTCCCTAAAAGCCGCGACCTTTTTCACAAAAATTGAGTTGTAATTGCTTGTTAGAACCGAGTTCTGCAGCAGTACTATTGTGTGTGAACCCTTGACAAGGACTGTGAACTTCATTACATCTAACATACGTTAGGTTATGAAACGATGAGCGATCATTTCACTAAGTATATGGAACTACACAAAAGTCCTGAAGTTCAGCGGAAGAGTAGTGAGGCAAGGTGGAAGGCAATCACTGAATTTAAAACAAAGTATCCGAATGCTGATATGAGTAAGTTTGAGTTTGAGGTTGACATAGATCTTAGGTTGACTCTAGTCTTAAGAATCTTCAGTGGAACGATCACACTGTCAAGCAGATTACATCGATAGCTAGATACCACCTTTACTACACCATGAGAAAGTTTGCTAAGAACGCGGAGTTAATGAAAGCGTACGTTCTTAGTTGGGTGAGAGGTCACCTTCCAGTTAACATTCAGTTACAAGGGTGGCTAACCCAACAAATGATAAGTCAGCTGTTTCTAAGAAGTGTGGGTCACTGATCGTGTAAGTAGGAGTACAATAAATACGTACTGGAGGATTCACAATGACTGGCAGTATTGACATGGGCGGGCACACCATTGAGAAGCTCAGATTGTCTTCACTTAATAACCCCAACAGGGAATCTGTACCTAACACCGGCTGGGTCTCAGACAAGTTTATGAGTAAGGCCTGGTTGGCGGCTTGGTGGAAGGTGATATTGACATGGGAGATTCTATAGTGATATTGTTAACTTGCGTGATCCCACTAACTCTAAGGATGCTGTGAACAAGCAGTGGGTGACAAACAACTTCTTCAGTTCGAAGTGTCATACTAGTGCAACTGGCAATATTGACCTCAATGGTGGAAGTGTGCTGAACTTGAAGACAGTACGTACCACCTGATGGGAAGGCTGGTATTAACAGTGACTATGCCGATTCAAGGTACGTTAGGAAGGTCCACCACATAGTCACACAGTGGGTCTGGGGTTTTCGGGGAGTCACACATGCCGTTGTTAACGACCAGGTTCCACCCTCCTGGAGAACTGATACCATTAACAATTTGACTAACATAAATTTGGAATCCATTACTGTGAAGTCAGACGCTTCCCGTTTCACCGATATTACTAATCTTAATACTGAGCTGATCCTTTGGGCTACCGTTTATGAAAAACAGTCTAATGGTAAATTTCATCAGGTAAAGAAGGAGATTGTAATTCGAACTATTGATTTGAGTGGGTTCTCTCATACTTACTTCCTTGGGACATATCAAAGTGATGGCGCAAGTGGTGCTTGTTATGTCTTCAAAGGTAAGTAAGAGTTAATTACCGAGAACCGAGGTATTTAGTCAAATACAGGCCGAGGCGCGCAGCGCCGAGGCCTGTATTTGACTAAATGCCGAGGTTCGAGGTAATTAACTGACTTATTACATGATTGAGAAGGTTTTCACAAAAGAATAATAACAGCATTTAATGTACGTTTATGAAGACAATGGGTATTGTTGTGTTCAAAGAAGACAAATGATCTTAGGCCCGTTTTAAACGTCGAGCTTTTTATGTACCGAATACATTAAAAACGATAGATAATCTGCTACAGTACCTCATTATCTATTGTTTTTAATGATTTCTGTGCATGAAAAGCTCGACGTTTAAAACGGGCCTTATTTGTTAGCAAAGTTGGAAATAGTTTTGCTTTGAATTTGGGTGTACAGGGTGTATCAAAAAAAGCGCAACCTCGGAATTTCCCAAGAAATCCACATTGTTTTAAAGACAAAAGATTTTAAGCGCCTGGGAATTTAAAATAGCACAACTGTCAAAATTACTGCACACGCGAGTGCATAAAGCAAAATTTATGCATTTATTTAATGCACAACAATAGTAATATGATCTATTGACAATCCGATTTCAATTCCCAGGGGCCTAAAATCTTTTATGCTTAAGAATTGGAAAGTGATTTCTTAGGAAATTCCGAGGTTGCGTTTTTTTTTATTATCCCTGTAGTTTGTATTGTTCAAATGCCTAAAATTTTGTATAGTGGTATGTAGATTTAGGATTTTATTGTATGTATGATTAGAAGTGAAATTACGTAGAATTCGCGTAGTGTTATTTGTTTTAGTCGAGTTTAAACAGAATGGCAGATATCGCGAAAGTTTAGCGGGTCTGACGCAGAACACGTTTCTGAAGGCACCTTTAGAGCCTTGTTTCGACCTGTTCAGTGGATTATTGGAGGGCGATTGCAATGTTGGTGATGGTAGTAATAATACCTCGAATAATACAATAACATATTCTGATCATGTTTTAACGGCGGAGAAAGAATTAAATGAAGCCTTAAAATGCCGCTACTCTGAAAATAGGCGAAAAATATCGCTAGTTACAGACAAGGAAGTTTAGTTGATTAAGGAAAGTCGAATTCCAAATAACACGAAACACAACACTAGTTGGTCTGTCGGCGTTTGGCAGGATTGGGCAAAAGGAAGAAACGCGAGAGTAATAGAACTAGGCGTTGTCGACAAGCTAGTCATGTCAGATATTTTAAAAGTGCCTGAAGAAGAACTTAACTATTGGTTAGCTAAGTTTGTGGTCGAGGTTCGCAATTAAGAAAGGTGAAAAGGCAGAATTTTATCCGCCTACGACACTTTATCAGATATGTTGTGGCCTATTACGATTTTTGCGAAATAATGGTCAGGCAGCATTGAATATATTTGATGATCCCATGTTTAAGCATTTTCAGGATATTTTAGATGGTGAAATGAAACGACTTACTAGTCTCGGTGTTGGTTCAAATGTCCGACAAGCGCAAGCATTTTCAGAAGAGCAAGAAGAACTTTTGTGGAAATCAAATCTACTGGGCTCCGACTCACCAGTGACATTACTAAATACAATGGTTTTTTTGATCGGCAAGAATTTTTCGCTTCGGAGCGGAAAAGAACATCGTTCATTAAAGTTCAGTCAACTTACACTGGAAGCTGCGACTGGGGATGAACCTGAGAAGCTTATTTACACATCTTTTGGAGAAAAGAATAACTTGGGTGGTCTTAAACATCGTACCATGAAACGGAAGCGTGTGGAGCATTACGCAAACGATGCGTGTCCTGATCGTTATATGGTGCATTTAAATAAGATGTATGTGGAGAGATGCACTTCTGAAGCCATAATAAAGGATGTGTTTTACGTTACTCCCAAGCGAAAGTGTCTTGATTCTGATAAAGGTATGTTATGCTACTGATATTTTGAATATCCTTTGCTTAGAATTTAAATTGTTAAATTTTTGTTCTTTTAGTGTGGTTCACGTTAAACCCAGTTGGCCACCATACGTTGGGCAATACGGTGAAACATTTGTGTGAGAAAGCTGGCATTGATGGGCATTACACGAATCATAGTCTTAGGGCTACTACTGCAACACGTGGTCTTGAAAAAGGGATTGCGGAGAAATATGTCATGGAGAGAACCGGCCATAGAGATGTGAGATCACTTCAGCGATATCAAAAACCGAACGTCCAACAAAAGATTGAGATTTCAAGAGCGTTTGATTTATCGTTGTCTCATGAGGAAACTAATTTGGA